GTCGGCCTTTCTTGATACGAATGACGGACCCAGGTCAAACAGAAGCAGCCGAGTACCACCTCCACGAGTCGAGAGTCCTTTCTCAGACGCGAATGAGGTGAAATGAGCACTTTTATAACGATGAATCTGCCGGCTCTGGCGAAGAAGGGCATTTGAATCAATCTTAGGGTCTTTTTTCCTTCGGCCGAGTCGTATTTCTTACATTCACTTCTCTGTATCTATGAGCCGCTATGCTTCTTTGATATCAGCATGGATCGCATATCGATCCCTGTCAGATTTTGTTGCGTGATATTACCAATGTCAACCATTTCAGGTGGTTTTGATAGGAATCTGACCTAGACTATAAATTGGAAGTTTACCTCTGTAAAGCACCTAAGAATTCTGTTGCCAGCCCAGCAGAGGACCAAGAGAGACTTCAGCTCAATCTGAGTGAGGACTGAATGAGAGACTGAAGGATGAAAAACAACGCAAATCTAACCATCAGGCCATAGTATGGGACTGGTTGAATAAAACTCTCAATACCTAGACTGTGATTTGAAAGGTTCCCTCTAATACATTCAATGAAATCCAGGATCTGGCCTCGGAAATATAATCCACTATTGCAGTACCAGTCCTCTTGCAACAATAGCTCATACAACCAGAGGCAGAAGTATGCCTAGTCGATTTGTGTCCCCGATTTAATTACGTCTTGCACTCGAATACAAGATCAGGGTTGCAGCGCCTCTGCCAGTATGAATCGGGTAGCTTCCATTGAAGGGCCTCTAGCACGTTGCGAGTGTCTTGGATTCTCTCGCGACAAGGTGGACGGCTCTGGTAGATCGTATCAACTATCATCATTATGATTTCAACAGGAATAGCAGCATTGATAGAATGCAACTTCACGGCGTGGCCAAGGGTTTTCTTGTGCTCTTGAGTAGCCACTGCAATCAATGCTTGGATCACGGATTATAAGTGGACTCTCGGAGATGTGTATGTGGTTAAAGTCTGCCGCATATCTGGGACAGTACTGCTTGATCCAGGGTGCCGCATTGTCATAGCATGGATAGCCGTCAGTGTCATGGAATAGGTCCGGCATCCAAAGTGTTCGGTCAGTCAGCAGGCTCTCCAATATATCTCGATAGCCTGTGTAAATGCGCGCAGGTCCTGCTTCACAACGCCGTGTCCCTGGAACCGATCAACCAGTAGCCAGCAGTGTGGATGCATGGCATATCCAATACGCGCATTCTTTTCTCTATTCCGGTCGGTCTCAATGAGATTGCCATATGAAAATCCATGTTCCATCTCTGACGGGCCATTGTGGGCTCAGGAATGACCAGCGCCTTATCTGAATCGATCATTATGCGCGGCTTCTTCCTGCCGTCCGGCATGAGGTGTGGAGATATTCCAAATATTGACAGGCGGCCTGTCTTTGGATCATCAAGGACTAGGTAGAGGTACTATTGCGTGGGGGCGGGCTCAGCAGAGGATGGAAAACTAGTTATAGATGACTCACTTGCACGGTAAAAACAGGGCCACATCAGGAGGTCTGTTTCCAGATCCAACTTTCCAAGCTGGGCTGCTGGCACAATGAGACTCTTCCTCTTGTTCAATTTTCGTGCCGCCCATGCCCCCCAGTCTTTATGTCTTTTCTTAATTCTCCCATGTATAAGGCACACTCTATCCCACACAGTACGCAACAGACATATGGGTCCCTATCGATGGACATTTTGATTTTGGGAGTTGTTGTCAGAAAGCAAAGGAAAAGATGGGAATGTAAGTTTTATATGGTTATGGACTTATGGTTCGAGTGAATGACGCGGTATTGATGGAATAACTCAGAAAGTGGTCTATAGTATCATGATGATCCTATCTAATAAGCAGACTACTTCCTACCAAGGTCTCAATTTGCGTTACTACACTAATGGAGAGCTTGATGAGCGCTACCAAGCTTGATGGAGCGTTACCAACGACACTGGCAGGGGCATGAGAATACCTCCTTACGTGGCATCGTCATTGATGAGATGAAATGCCTGGAACCAGGTTGGATAGAAGTTTTTAACGAGAGCCAGATTCAAAGAGACTTTGATTCTGCCGTGAAGAACTGCGATACTTTTTGCTCTGCGTGTCAATGAATAAATTGAAGATGTCATTGCTAGAAAAGACGCAATTTGAGCAGCCACTGGGCAGCTAAGTATTGATGGCGAATATTGCTAAAATTACTACACTACCATTGCTTTTGAAGTCGGTAGTAGCTCTTCTCTGATTTTCATTTCTGACTTCCAGGCGGCATGTCAGGCTTTGTTTATGAAAGGCATCTCAAGGCCGGGAACAAAGTCGAATAGAGTTGACAAGATCTTACTGGACTTGTCGATTCTTTCCTTTGGCTTGTGCTTCTTCTCCGTGAAGTGAGACCAACCAGGGCCCGGCAATTGCTGGTGCCATTCGTGACAAAGGAAGATAACTCAAGCCATGTTATTTCGAAGGCGGTCTATGAAATGGTTAGTACTGCTAGATTCTTTATTGTGATCATGATAACATGCTCATGTACATCAGCCTTCTTTACCATAATGCATCATCAACCGGTCAAGGGAGCATACTAGTAAACAATGCCTTACTGATGGTAAATCCACGAGCTAATCGACTGCTAAGCTTCCCTTCCTTGTTTCTCCGAGCGGAACAGGTATGCATATTATAAGAAACTATTAGGCTATACATTTGGGCTTCTTATTGTTCATCTGCAGGCCGTGTATCATGTTCGCTGGCTGGCCTGTTTTGTCGTAGTCGACCGCGTTGGAATGAAGCTGGGCTAGTTGCATGCACTTTCCTTCGTTGACACTGTCCTTAAGACAATCTGGCCAGGTAAGATGGGAGGAAATAGTTCTTCATGTATAAGAAGTAATAGGGTGTTTCCCTTTCCTTTGCAGGAGGGACATAGGAGTCTCGATCCGCGACCCAGGAGGAAAACGGAAGATTACTCTGAACTGATCAGCACAAAAGAAAGGACAAGTAGGGCAACTATAGTCGCTAGGGAGAGATTGCCTTACGTCACTATACTTGCCTTTAGCAAACCATATAGAAATATTTCCTCAGGGGCTCTCCAATCAGGCAAAACCATGCCACCGAAATGCACTGTGACGGGGAGGAAAGAAGGTTCAATGGCCTTACACCTTTGAAATGTATCAGGGCTGGGAATATTTGTCCATGCGGGAGACGTGACTACTAAATAAGTATTAATCCTTGGAATTAATCTAAGGTTTAATGCCTACTGACCTTAGCAACCTTTTTCTGATGATACTAAGCTGTGAGCCTAATAACTAGCCAGCAATGGAGGACTAAAAGTTCAGGTTACAGTGAGTCACTGACTATCACTTAGGCTTCCTCACAGTTTTCTATCCATCAGTTCCCGACTTCCCATGTACCAGATTCTCAGTCATCTTGTGTGTGCATACACGAAAGAATAGTGAACTTACACCAATGCTGTTATTGGCAATGGAACCTGTATGTTGACATGACCAGTACTCTGAAGGTTATTGCTAATGTCATTAGAAACAAGCATCATTCTATATAAATAGCTGCCCGGCAGACATATTGTACTTGGTGTTCCAGTTTCTATCATCTGCTGAACTGCATGCACTATATCTTGTTAATAAAATGTGCCGCACAATTGCTGAGAAATTCTTCTACTCAAAAATCCAGATGACTTGGCTAAAAGCTGACCGTCCTTCACTAATTACTCAACTCTTACAGACACTCTTATCCAGGCCTTAGCTAGCTGCTTACATTATAACTGTACACCTTGATGGCAATCTCTATGATCACTGGAGCTTTCATTTCAAAATTCCTAAACTTCCGGTCTCTGGCGCTGAGCTGGACCAACTGATCGCATTTATCTGGGGCACTGGAGCCCCCTATAGCGACCTTTAGATACAGGAATTGCGCCAAGGTTCTATAGATGCTTTTGTTGCGCTTCTATTAGCATAGCTTTCAAATGTGAGATATCTGTACCTTGCCAATGACTTTACTTGACAGACTGCACTTGTTAGTATGGTTCTCTGATCTGTGATCTGCGAGCCTGTGAATTATGGCCTGCCTGACTTTCGGCATCTCTGAGATGTCTCTTTCCTTAAACCTAATGGTGAGGATTGTGCCCGCTACAGGAAGGCCAAAACTACTTAAGATATCCTGCCATTATTTTATCTGCTGAGTGTCCAACGCATGTTAGCTTTGATTGAGAACCCAGCTAAATTTACTTGGCCTACAGCACACTTACCTGTCCCATCAAAGCTTACGTCACTTGAGTTGACCATTGTGCGGGAGGTGTATCTTGGTGAACTGCTTGCACTCACCCAGAACCTTAAAACCCTTTGCTGGCATTGGTATTATGATGAGGGTGTCAGTGACAAGTTCACTACGCCTATTGTCAATCTCGATTGGATTGTGGTTATGGTATCTTGTGTCTGAGGTACTCTGACAGAGTTGACCCTCTCAGCCACGTGCGGCTTAGGAGGTGGTGACCATTTTTTCCTGCCATAAAGACAGTGGGCTTGTTGCAAGGGATGGTTGATTTTGACAAGCTCAAGAGACTTCAGGTCCCCTGGCCATTTCTGGTGGGGTTCGCACAGGACATGACGAAATGATTGCAGGATGTGATCCCAAGGAATATCGAATAACCATCACGGACGACTTGAGGCTACAGAATGAAGATGGAATGGTAGCCAAATTGCCTCGCTGGGAGTGGACGGATGACGCCATGCTAGGCTTGCTTCAATCATGGCTGAAGGATTGGAAGGCATGCACGCCGCACCTTCGTGGCATTACTCTGCTACTAAGCTGGAATGACAACGATGAATGGTCCCCTAGGATGAGGGACCAACTCAGCGAGCTAGGCGCTCACGCAGGAGTTCCACTTGAGCTGATCAAGTTAGATGGTTTTGAAACTTTCTGATATTTATCCTCGCCCGTTTGAGCCACTTGCCCATAGTCAAATGGCTCAACGCATCCACAAATAAGATGCTCAATATCTAGCTTACAGTGGGCATAGAACATACTGGGATCTGGTCTATCTTTGGATTTCCACCTGCGAGAGTGCTCAAATCATAGGACTCATTGGGAGTCTTGCCAGTATCAAGGTCCACCACTCTCATCTTCATCTGCTTAATAAACAAGTTGCATCCCCAATGGTCCTAGCGCAAAATTATCAGTCCTGCAGCGCGAGAGTTGCAAATTAAAGGGTAGCCAGTCTCACTCACTGTCACACTAGTACCACATGGTGGAGCTCGCGTCTTGTACACGATCACAGCAGCTCTTGCGTTTTGTCCAGCTAAAGGAGTCGTGTGCGAAGCATAGTACAGATGTGCAGCTGTGATCTCTATTTAAGTGGATGGGAAGTTCATCATCTTCACCAAGATTGGCTAAATCCTCCCAAAGAGCCTGGCAGAGATGAAGAGCCTTGCCAATCGGGGTAGTCCCATCACCAAACTCATACGTGAAAGTATCATCGCGTTTCATTGAAGAAGCTAGGTTGATTTCATTGCCGAAAGCGAGGACCGTCATGACTGTGGATAAGCCTTCTTTTGGAAATGCCGTACTAGGCCAGAACAGCGGGGATCTCGTCCAATGCATCAACCGCCATTTGCCAAAGTTGGCCGTCAGTGATCGTGCTAACCAGCTCTTTGAATGTGAGATCGCTGCTATAAAACCAGTTCTGCTGAGTGTCCAGGCGTCTATCATCAGTTGATGGCGGCCAACTCTTTGCAAATGCCGTAATCGAGCGTTATGCCCAGAGAACCTTGAGATTGCTTTCGCTCGCTGAGATCATTACCATCACCAAATGCGCACCAGATCACAAGGATGAGGTGAAAAAGCCTAGGGGAAAATCATGATGTAGAATACTCTGCTATATCACTATAAGAATAATGCACACCAGGGGAGGGAAGGTTTCCTACCTAGAGTACTCTGGATGTAGTGTGCCGCCGGTCACCCTGAAAGCCAGTACCCAGCACCATTTTAGAGAATGGCTGCTGTAGGTTTCTCGCTACACTTGCCAGTCTCTATTTCTCAGTCTAAAAAAGTCTGTCTTACAGTCCTATTCTACAATAGAGGTAGAAACCGTACAATAGTACTAGTAGTGCTATCGTGGCAAACACTTCTCCTAGTGCTACTACCATAGGATACCCCGATAGGATAGGATCCTGCCAATGAACGGCAATAGATGATAGATGTTGGTCTAGACGAGAGAAATGACTCGGAAGCTTACATCTGTTCTTTTGCTATTCACTTTTGTATAGTATTTGTCAATTTGAAATAGCACGAATTCGACCTGACATGGTATACTAGCGTCTAGTATAGACTACGTAGAGCTAGGGCTCCTTCTTAGCTCATAGAAAAGTCTAATAGAAAGACACCTAGGCGCGCAATAGAGTGCACGAGTAGTGGCACAGAGCAGTAATTGTAATGATTCGGAGATTCCCGACGAATCCTCTCTCGTAGAGATGATTAGTATTTGTCAACTTGAAATAGCACGGATCCGACCTAGCTCGCGATATCAGTATTGAGGTATCGGTGAGCCAAGATCCCTGTATTTGCTCCATAAATCGTCTAATATGGATCCGCTTCTTTGGATTCCCGATGCTCCGACTACTGTAGAGACACCCACCAGGTCAATTGACAGGCAACACGGATTGGATACCATCCTAGCGTTCAACCGTTGAAAAAAGCGCATAAGGGGTCCACTATGGATCATGCGGCAATCAAAATGTATGCTCTAGCAGCAGTAGACTACCTTAGTCCAGGTACAGAGCTTTTGAGATTCTGGACTAAGCTTCGCTAAGCCATTACTTTTCTTGGCTTGGCACTAGTCTTTTTCTCCGGGCCAATCTTCGTTGTTCATTCTGTCAGTGGATGACTACCCCGGTCCATTTAGAGTCTTGGCGATCCAGCCTTGGCCCATAAGAGCAGACCTATTCTCCGAAACTGTTGGCACCTGCGCTGTATTCAATACTACTAGATATTGCGGCATTTTCCTAATTCAGGGCTAATCTGCGCTCAGTTCCACTTGTAAACGCTCACTCGATAGGCCAATTGCATGGTAACCTGTATTGTTTTGGCTAAATCACTACTCTATCAGTTCTATTCCTGAAATGCTCGAGACCTTAGTTTAGCAATGGAGATAGGAGATACCTAAGAGAATTAATTTACCTCCAGCACAGTAAATTAATTACATGCCCATCCCATGATTGATCCTGGCCAGGATGATTGAACGGGGAGAGAGTACCTCGAGGAATAGTTTTCATGTGTTTTATAGCCTCCTGCGTAAGTTTCGCCCTTGCCATAAAGAAGATCTCTCCATCCTCTCTGATCACCCTTTAATTCATGTGATATGTAGGTGGGTTGAGCTTCGGTATCTCGATATTTTCCGTTGACACGAATGTCAACTATGACTTTAAATTATCACCTTCGTCCCTCCAACCCCACCTCTCCTAAGACACAGCTTCCGGGTCAAGAGTTGGATCTTAATCTCGAAAAGGAATCGTCTGGCCAGCCTGGTGAAATTTGAAAAGCTATTTACCCTTTTCTTTCGGGATTTTGCCAAGATCTTGAAAAACCCCTGGCCCACTATGCGTCGGGAATCCGGCTGGCCCAACGACATCACTCCTACACGTCCCGATGAAGCCCACTGACTCGGTGGGTCAAGTAGTGCCTTTAGTTGGTTTTTCCGACTAGGAAAGAAGAGCGATCTTACTTAGTTTGACTGCTGAAATCCACGAATGAAGTTGAATCTGAGGGGTCGCTCTAGTGACACTAATCACTAGCGTGCGGACCTAGCCTAATCAACAGCCACGATGCTTTCAAAGGTCAGAGTCACAGCAACAATCACTTAGAGTACCTGACAACCTTCTCACATTTCAGTTTCTGTTATCCATCAGTTCCCACGTGCGAGTTCCTCAGTATTCTTTATGTACGCATACACAAACGAGCAGTGAGCTCTTAACCTTGGCAATGAAACCTGTATGTGATTATTGGGGGTGTTCGAGGTTATTACTAATATCCCTAGGAACGTCAAGCAGCATCTGGTCTAGACAGCTTCCCAGCAGAAATATTGTACTTGGTGGTCCAGTTACTATCGTCTGCTGAACTCCATGCACTATGTCTTGTCAATAAAAGGCTCCGCATAATTGCTGAGCCATTCCTCTACACCCAGATTCAATGGACATGGACAGACTCTCGGACTCCCCCGATCGCTCAGTTTTTGCGAACCATTGTGCGCAGGCCCGAACTCGCCCGTTTAGTCCAAGTTGTGATCCTCAGTGGGGACTGTTTCGATCCCGACGGGTGGGATTATAGAAAGAAGTGTCCCAAACTCCCAGTCACTGAGGTTGTCTTAGACGAGTTAGTGAAATGCATCGAAAGGATCCGGATTCCATATGTTGAACAGTGGATCCAAGAGTTGCGCGCCGGAACAATGGATGCGTTTGTCACTCTTTTATTATCACAGCTCCCCAGTCTGAGACGCCTTTATCTAGACAAGAATTTTGCCCGAGAGAGCCGCCTCATGGGCATGATGCTCCGTTCAGCCCTCTGCGAGGAGTCCCAACATAGCCATCTCCCTTCCTTTACACATCTCCAAGATGTGTCAGTTGTGTATCCCGGCCTTGGTCTCCACATTCGCAGGTTCACGGACGTCAGGAACTCGGCAGATGTCCTCCCGCTCTTCTACTTGCCGTCGGTTGAACAGATAACGACCTTAGTTGATAACCCTGCTGCCACTTTCATGTGGCCCGGGAAAGATCCACCAAAATCATCAAAACTGGCGTCGCTCGACTTGACGATGTTGCGCGAAGGACCTCTCGGTCAAGTGTTATCAGTCACCCGAGGGCTTCGGAAGCTTCAATGGGATTGGTACTACCGCGAAGATCTCCAAGATGATTCTGTCACGGATATTATCAATTTGGACCAAATCGCCGCGGATCTATCTCACGTTCAAGAAACCTTGACAGACTTGACTATTACGGCAGCGACAGACCTCGCAGAAGCAGCCCCTGAACACCCGGAGGTCACATTCCGCGGGTCTTTTAAAACTTTTAGTGCACTCCAGATGCTGAAAAATCTGGAAGTTCCAATTCCATTTCTGCTTGGATTTTCTCCATTGGAGCCTAATGTAGTTGGCCTAGGGGAAGCACTTCCCAAAAACATCGAATGGCTGACCGTCACTGACGATCTATGTCTCCAGCGAGAATGGGAATGGGCGTACGAGACTGAATACCTATTGAGGGCTGTTAGATCATGGCTACAAGACTGGAAGCGATTCACGCCTCGCCTCCGGGGATTTCGCCTGTTGTCGAGGATATACAAAGTCCGGGATTGGGACCCTGAGTTGAGAGAGGGGCTCAGAGACATGGGTGCCCAGGCAGGAATTCAGGTTCAAATAATAAGAGAAGAACTCAAGTGAGCAGATCAAATGCAATTATAGCTCCAGCTTCTGCTACCGATATCTCTTCGGACCGCTATTTAATTTTGAACAAACACTCTGGGATCACCCCCGCATAACTGAATCTGCTCAATCTTGACCGGGCCTTCTGCAAGGGTTGCCAGCGTGTACGGCTCTGGCGGCGTGTTTGTATCTAAGACCCTGAGCCCCTGATCTTTTGTGAAGAGATTGCAGCCCCAAAAGTCCTGCACAGTTGTTAGTTTGTCTTTGAAAAAAGACATACTCATGAGGACATTGGTTACTTACCTCCCTGTCAGTTCCACATGGATCTATCTGTTTCCAATTACCCACTTTGACCCATGTGCCAACTCTCGCTTTTCGATCTTTCAGGGGGACATCGTTCTGGCCGTAGTATAGATGGGCCGCCATAGGCTCTACGCAACTACCCCGGTTCTTGTGTTGTTTCTCTTTGCCAGTCTTATCTCGCCAGACCATCTGGCATTTCTGAAGACTTCTGCCGACAGGCGTGTCGCCGTTCTGAAACTGATAGGAGTAATGGCCCGCTGACTTCATGGTCGAGGAAAGGATGATTTCATTCCCCCAGGCCAGAATCCCGACGGCCGTGGGCTCTGCGCCAGGGATGATGCCATACTGCTCTCGGTCTGCTACCATTTCATCGACCGCCTCTCGCGCGATTTGCCATAGCTGCCCGTCTGAGACTGGAGGGTTCGCCTCATCGGAATCCCCGATGCGACTTGCAAACACGATGTGGCTGGTAAATAGCCAACTGCGCTTGACTCGCTGAAGGCTGACGTCTTGCGCCTGCGGCCAAGATATTGCAAGGCCATAGTCGAGGGTGACTTTGAGCGGGCCAAGCGGTTGCTTCATTACAGAAACATCGTGAGCACCACTGAGTATAGGGATGAACGCGATCAAGGCCCCCAGGACTAAAAGACCCGCATCTCGGACAGATGGGAAGAGCATTGTTGACGGCGAACGCTCAAGTTGACTGTGACCGGCGCAGAGCTGGAAACACATGAGCCACTATGTGAGTTGCTGGGTAGCATAGAGGATTCACTTACGCAAGGATAATGGCCAAGGGCTTGAAGTACGTCTTCCTTTTCTTCTCAAAAATTAGGCTTTTTATATACCCATGCACAAGTGGACGACGACAATCCGGCAGATATATATGATTCCCTCACAGTGTGAGTTTCATCAGCAAGCCTACTGCCTTTTAAGAAAAACCCTGTGCCGCTCAATTCCGATTATAAACCGGATGGTACTAGCGAGGAAGGGGTTTCAATTTGTCGCTTCGGACTTCCTACCATCTTCCTTTGGCGGCCAGCGCCAGCCTCAGAATGGAGAATGCGGTGCACTAGGCTGTCTTCTCCCAGGATGGTGCGTCCTTTAGGACATCTCCGAACAGGCATTTTCAGCGGGGCCTTCCATGCTTCTAGCACTACTACCATAGTATACGTCCTCCGAGACAGTTTCTTCCAAAACCAACAGCAATATACGCTATATGCTTAGCGCCGGCTGTGGGAATGACTCGGAAGGTTGCATTTGATCCTGCGTACTGTAGCCCACATGGTATTTGCAACTCAGAATCGGCCTGAATTCGACTTAGCATGCGATACTCGTACCGAAGCGAGGCTGTGGGTGCTCCTTGATCCACTAGAAGGGTCTTAGTATTGTACGGATGGAAGGGCCCTACCGCACGATAGGGTGCTACTCAATACTCATATGGTAGTGACAGAGCTTTAATACGTGAGGCTATTCTACAAGCTATCATAGAATCTAGATCAGATCATAAAGACCTAACTTAAGTGAACTATTTTTATACAGAAAATGAAGGTATCATCACTCCTATAGTATTTGTCATTCTAAAACAGGATAAATTTAATCTAACAAGAGATATCAGTATAAACTAGAGCTAAGGCTCCTTCTGGAAAGTCAAATGGAAGGACCCTAGGCACAGATACTAGACCCTGTACTAATATAGCGCCGCTGAATCCTAGCGCCAACGGCGTTCATCGGACGGCCGCCGAGCAGCGTTTTTACCAATCCAGTGAATCCACTGGTTTAGCATGCCTCGTGCGTTAGTTACGGTTGAGATCAAGAGAAATGCTTATTAATTTCTCGACGGCATCGCCTAGCGTCCCAACTGGGTTTTCTCGTTTATGATTATATCTCAGTCCAGCAGCTCGTACCAACCAATTTTGGAAGGAGTCAATTGGTGACCGGAAAGTGCGGCAGCCATGAGCCAATACCTGCTGTCCAGAAAAAGGTGCATCACGGTGGATCTATAGTTCATGTTACTACTTAGTCTGACCTTTCAAGATGCGAGGGTAGCAGCGAGGAAAGGGGTAGTATCGTTCTCATGGATAGGAAGGGGGAGGCGATTCAGGCGAACCCGAAAGGGCGCACTCCACAAGACTACTCTCAGATCATGAACGTGGTTATAAGAAGTCTTTCATGTCTGTGAAGTCCTGGATTGTATTGCCCTTCTCGTCCGTCTCCTGGCCTACTCGCCTCCTATGTTTGATATGTACGGGCAACTATGGCATGGCCTGGCGGCCATTGCTACCCTTGGAAGTTGCGCCCTTGCCAATCCCCTTGTATATTGGGATGGGCGAGGAAATGCAAGTATGAACTACGAGCACTTCATGGCGAGAGATACCGCCGATTTCGATCAATCAGATCTTTCCTTCATCACGAGAATGGCCGCCATCGGCGACTCCTACTCGACTGGAATAGGCGCAGGTAACCGGATTCAAACTGATGCCGGTAAATCAATCTCTCCCTGACTCAAGGATGTACTATGTTGACTGATAGATATTTTGTCCACCTGAAGATTGGGCTTGCAGTCGCTATGATCACTCCTATCCCTATCTCATTCATAACGATCCACAGCTGGGCGACCCAGAAGCACGCACTTTTCAGTTCGTGTCCTGCTCTGGTGCAGTCACAGCCGATGCCCTCGACAAACAGATCCCTCAAATCAGCGGGAACCAGCAAGTCATCTTGCTATCAGTCGGTACGTATATATCTGAAGTCCCACTCCATGAACTGAACTGACGTGAGTGGGATCTTAGGTGGTAATGATGCTGAGCTCTCAAGCATCCTAAACCAGTGCATCTTTGGATGGGCCGCCTTGGCCCCAGAGACAGTGAAGTCGGCAAAGGAAGCGGCTCTGAAACACCCAGAGTTTGCATGGGCGGCGAATTTCGACTGGGACTCGTTAGGTCATGGCTGTGAGAAGCAGTTGGCTCGCACAAGAGACATCATTGCTGGGGATACCTTCAGCAGAAGCTTGGATTCTGTTATTGAGGCAGCAAAGAAAAAGCTAAGTCCAGAGTCAGTAACAATACCCTCATCGATGTCTGAAGGCTAACTAAGTGATAGTGGGATGATTTACTACACCGGGTAACTGCCATACTGTTCGGTCCTTTTGGGGCATTATTGACAGTGTCTATACAGGTATGCCAAGTTCTTTGCAGAAGATCTATCACCGGCGTGTGATAGTGTTAGCTGGTCAACCTTTATATATGTGAGTAGTCATAAAACGAATACTTTCTGCCATAATACCTACTGATTATCCGCCAGAAAATAGCCAGCTTATTTCAGGGCGCACAGAAATTGACGAGGGCTAATCGGAAGATAATGAACGACCTTGTCGATGCCGCTAACGCGCAAATTGTTCGTCTTAATACCTTTCCTTATCTATTGTAGCCGTTACTAAAACTTCAAATTGCTCTGTAGTCGGCTGCAGTCAAGAGAGCCGGCTCCTAGGTCAAGTTTGTAGACTACGACTCTTGGGTGGGCCATTTCAAAGGCCGCTTTTGTGAAAATGGTGTCGACGAATCAACAGTCGAAAGCAACACAAGGTGAGTGCTTGATCTCAAACCACAAATGAAGCTTATACTAACATCTACAGAACCGGTCTCATGTTCTACGAGCTGAATATGATGGACCCCTTCGGCACAAATCCCTGGAAACGGAGCGACAAGCAGCCATTCGAAGGAACGTTTGAGGGCACCGTGAACCAATTCGCGGAGATTACACGTCTGATGGATCCAGATGCCAAGTTCTCAGAGCAGGCCTTTATCTCCGACGCTGGCACTGCTTCTATTGCCTCCTCTAACGTGAAACTAGTCAACAGTGCCAGTGTCCTTGGACTGACAATTCCAAATTTACTTCCAGACGGGTAAGACAAAGATTTTGGCTTGTCACGAGAGACCTCGACATTGATGATTACTAGATACGGGCGTGTTTTCCATCCCCAGATATTGCTGCACGAGCTCATTGCCTCACTGGTCATCTATGAAATGGTCAATAAGAATGAGCAAGATCATGGCTTTCCAGCAATCCCCGAGACGTTGACCCTGGACTCGTGCCCCAACTATGGGGACGGGAATGGGAATGGTGCTGGAGACGGCCGTACGTATTGCCCTAGCAGTTCCAGGTCATTTGACAGGGAAAGAAAAGGACTAATCTCATATCGCTGCGTTTAGAACAAATCGCGTTAGCATTGTACGTTAATCCGCTCGCGGACCCAGTCGCTTGGGACCGCATGATTGCCTACCCATCAAGTAAGGTGAGCGTCCTGGTCGCCAACGTCCTTAACGGCCCGGACACAACGATGAATGAGGATTGGGCAAAGGTCATCGACCGGGCCCATACCTCGGGAAAACGAATCCTTGGCTATGTATGGACAGGGTATCTAGGCCAAAGCCAGCAGGCCTTTGAGACCCAGCTTGGTTCGGCTGACCTTGCCAACTGGGTCTCGCAGATCCAAACTGACGTCGACTTGTGGTACCAGCTGTACCCCAGCAAGATCAGCGGCATCTTCTTCGATGAGGGATGGAACGATTGTGGGCCAGACAATCTGTATGCAGATTTGTATCATTTTATTACCAATGCTATAAAGCGAAAACACCCCAGAGCCTTTACCATGCTTAATCCCGGTGCTACAATGCCACAGTGCTTTGAGCATAGGTGTGTATCTATCCAACTACACACCCAGAAAGAGAAAGGCTGACAATATCGCAGTGCCGACACGCTCATGATATTTGAGCAGAGTTATGACACGTACATGAACAACTACGTCCCCAACCCTGGCTGGACACCCAAGGACCCGCGCAAGCTCTGGCATATCATCTACAGCGTACCGGAGGCGGACGCGGGAAAGGTCGCCGCGCTGGCCCTAAAGCGCGGAGCCGGCCTTATCCACATTACAAATAACCTCCTCCCCAGCCCGTACGACACCCTACCGGATGAAGCCTATATGAAAGCCATTACGGATATAATCAAGGGTGGCGGACCGGATGTTGCAGATCCCACCCTTTATCCAGCCGGCGGCCATGCTGCGTTTCCGCCAGGCCCATTATCAGTGACTGCCTCTGACTATTCCTCTGTAAGCCTTAAGTGGGATATTTCTAACAGAGAGCCCCCACACGCGTACGCGGTATACCGTGATGGGAACGAAGTTGCTCGCCTCCCAGGTATAATGTCCCGGGTGATAATCAGCAACATCAGCCCAGGATCCTCCATGTCCTTCACTGTACGGGCTATTGGGACGGACGGAAAGGAGACCAGAGATTCAAATTCCATGGCTGCTACAACCCAGAGCCTGCCCAATAACCAGGCAGTAATGAACGTCAGGGTCAGCAAATCAGCCACCTCCACCACCATCCAGGCTGATTTCCTCGTCCCATACGCCTTCATGCGCGTCTATCTTACAGACCCGAACACGCACTGCCAAATACCAGTATGGCTAATCAACTTCAACGCTGGGAACTTCATCTACACTCACTACATGGTTGAGAATGAGGTCCTGTACAAGTATAGTGGTGCCAACCTAACAGAAGGACAAACCAACTACCCCTGGGCGTGGTCCTCGAAAGGCGCCGCCCCAGTCAAACGCGACGGCTATACCTTCACGTGGACTCTTCCAGTCGGCACCAACACCACCGACTCTAGCTATTTCTCCGTCCAGGCTCAGGGCTATGGGTCGCTGACGAACGTCTTCCACCCATGCCTAAGTGAATGGGACGACAGCACGCCAGGTGCCGGAGCCTTCTGCACTGGGTCGTCGCCATACGACTGCAAAGGCGAGACACTCTGCAGTACCACTAACGTCAAGTGATGCAACAAGGCAGTCAACCAGATGAACCACAGCCAAACAATCTACACGTCTAATGCAGAGGCACTTGCTCTGTCCAGGAACTGCTGGGCAAATAACGCGGGATTTGGATGCTCTGTGAAAATCCGAGGCACGGATCAGAATGGGAAAAATTGTAAGATCACTAGCGATGAGATGTGGGAGGCCTACCAGGATATCCGCAATATTGGGGGTTGTGGGAAGTGTGGGACTAAGCATTTTGGGAATGGATGTATGGTCAGCGTCGACTATTACTATGGCTGTGATAATCGGGATAAGGGCTTGCTGTTGATGGCAGATTTCATTGAGACTAATTTAATGGACTCTATGTAGTACCTTTGAAGCAATTTCATTATTTACCTGTTCGTCTATGGAGGGGGATGGTATGAGAGTCAGACACATAAATTCCTACTAGGATCCTATTGGTATTGCTGTCTTCTGTGCAGTTCCTGTACATTTAGTGTTTCCCCTTCTTTAATCTTATGCATATTTCATTCGCCAAACCTATGCAGGAGTCTGAGAGTCTCTTAACTCTCTTTAAAAATTATTTAATAGCTCTGACGCTGCTTCATCAAGTTAACGCTCATCTAATAAGGTCACTTCAAGAAGTTCATGCCCTTGGTTAGATGTAATTGGCTATGCTGAGGGTATTTTCATACATAGAATAAGCATAAATCCCTTCTGCAGCATGGGACGATCGATGAGCAAGATGTTGAAGAGCTCACTATACAATCACGTGATGCATATATAGTCATGTGGTCAAAAGAAGATCCTACAATCTTATCCCCTTTTAATAGTCATCAACTTATGGGCTAGCTATGCCATCGTGTGAGCAATTTGACATTGTTCTATTCGCATCATTCTCTGAATAAGTAAATTGATTGCCCGCCTGCGTTTATTTACAAAAAGCCGACTCTACGCTGTGATGACTAGTCAGGCATCAAGCCTTCCGCTCCTTCGGGGCTCCACAACATTAGAAGAAGCGCTTGAGCAGGAAGAGGATATACTTCTCGATCTGTCTTATCCAGATTCTCGGATAGAATTTTTTGTATTTCTCTACAGTCATCGCAAGGACATTGCGGAACTGGTGTCAGACCATTTGGGACTCGATCAACCCAACCAGTGTCGCTTGGGTGAAGTGAGGGAGTGGATACACGGCAGCTTCAACGTTTGCATCCCGGTTTATGTCGAAAACTGGAACAAATGTTCGGCCAAACGGGTCCTCATCCGATTTCCTCTGCCGTACAAAGTGGGAGAATCAGCTTATCCTGGGAACGCCGATGAGAAGCTCCGTTGTGAGGCCGCCACGTTCATTTGGATACGACAGCATCATCCAGATATCCCGCTCCCTCGTCTTTGGGGATTTGGATTTGCTGGTGGTCAGACCGTATGCCATTCAAACACATGGAGCCTTCAACTTAGAGGCTAACAATGATTGCTCACAGTTTACCAGACCCGAAAACATGCCCGTGACGACCAGGGTGATCTCGTACTTCAAGCGATACGTATCATGGCTCTTCGGATTTCCCCTACCCTGCCCTTATATAAGCCATCGTCGCCAACATGTGCTGGAGCACGGCTACCTCGTCATGGACTATATTGACGAGCCAGGGGTGCAGATGCTGTCAGAAACATGGGACGAGTTTCCACATGATCCCAACAAAACAGCTAACTTCTACCGGGGCTTATCTCGCATTATGCTTTCCTTGAGCCAGCGTCCATTACCGCGGATAGGATCCTGGACGATAGACTCGAATGGAGTATTGCAACTTTCCAATCGACCTCTTACTCTTCGCCTGCATCAGTTGGAAAATGCCGGTATCCCGACTAACATCGGTCGTAATGTAACTTACCCGTCAACCGACTCATACTACCTCGATATCTTGTCCTGTCACGACAGCCGTATACGCCACCAGCCCAACTCCATACATGATGAGGAAGACGGACGTGCCCAGGTGGCGAATCTGACTATCATGCGGGCACTTCTTCCTCTCTTCACTGACCGAGAGCTCCGCCAGGGACCATTCTTCTACAGACTCACAGACCTGCATCAAAGCAATATCTTTGTCGATAGCCAATGGCATATCAAATACCTTGTCGATCTCGAGTGGGCCTGCTCACTCCCAGCTGAGACCTTGCGCCCTCCGTATTGGTTGACAGGTCATGCTGCAGATGATATCCTTGGTGAACGCCTTGACGCTTTCAGCAAAGCACACGACAAGTTTATAGAGATTTTCGAGGAGGAAGAGAAGCGATATCCGCCTCTATTTAGTGTCAGCGCATGGCGGACAAACATCATGAGAAGTGGCTGGAGAGTCGGAAATTTTTGGTACTTCCAAGCCTTGGATAGTCCCAAGGGCCTATTCAACATTTTCCGTGACCATATCCAGCCAAAATTCGCACCATTGCATAGCGCTGATCCATCGGACTTCTCAAGAATAGTATCCGAGTACTGGGCTGTCGGTACCAAGGATATCTTAGAGGGAAAGTTGAGAGACAAGGAGGTTTACGAAAATGAGCTACGTCTGCGTTTCCAAAATGGTTCTGATGGCACCTGATACTGAGGCAGCGACAATTCTCATTGAATCAATCGTCAAGAATATAGACCTTCACGCCATCCCGATCAACTTCAATTCCTTTTGCGTCGTCTCTGGGCATCATGTCCCGACGATGATAGCTGTTGCATCGTCGCCTGGTCTGTGAGACCTCTTGTAACTGCTGCATGGTCCTCCCGGGCCTGTTTCTCAGAAGCCGCTCTGGCAGCCGCCTCCCTACGAGCTGCCTCAGCTCCCTGTCTTTCCGTCTCCGAAAGTATTTGTCTTTCATCCTCGTCGCTGGTCATGTTGAAACCTGTGCTCGTTGGCTAGTATCATGGATGGATTATGCTGGTCCGCTACTCTGATGATGGAGCTTACTATGTCTCAGACCAGAACCCAGGTTCGACGGATATCAAATAGGTGGGGAGAAGCTACTTCCGGGACAGTTAGTGCCTGCCAATAGAACTTTAGATTTATGCTGGACGTGTACCAGACCGTGATTACGGTCGTCAAGTTAAGAAGCTCCTTTGGTAGAAGATGTGGCGAAGCTTTGCAACGAAAGAACGGAAAGATGTAAAGGCGCGAGGAGGGCGGGGATCCTGCATTTAATGAATAAGATCATGCGGATACAAGGCCGACTCACGAAGCCTCGTGCATGCTATGGCTAGATCAAATGCCAACCCGGCTGTGAGACGGCTCCTTAGCGCCCACCTTTAGCAGCTGTTGACTTCAATTGAGATCATGAGATGACCTCATAGGCCATACTGGCCAGGATATGATTGCACCATCCAGAATGAAGCTGACACGTCATTAATGCAGAGGCTGGTGCTCAGCATGCCCACAGAGTCACAGACGTTATTCGATGATTAATGTAGTGATCAACTTAGCTAGAGAGGTCAGAAATACTGTTTACTAAGTTAGTTAAATTATCTACCCTTCTCTCTGACTGTACCAAACTAACCTTTAATTCTGCTGCCACCTGCATGATCAGAATACGATTTATCCTATAACAGTGGACTAGAACTAGGTCCATAGGGTAGAAATAGATTGTAGGAACCAACTCTATGGCTTTCTTCGAGCACCTTTGATCAGGAATTCTTTTGGCCGCGACACAACTAACCAACAAACTGAAAAAGCGATGCCTCCTCAATGTGCTTGACGCGCTCGGTCTCGGCATAGCTTGCCTTGAGGACATTCATGCTGTAGTAGAAAGCCCCGTCATGCAAGACAAACATGCTAGGCAGACCGTGGGGAATCAGGACAAGACAATCATCAGGCTCAGGACGAAAGCCAAGGCTGTACCATGTTGAACAGTGTGCGCACAAACTGACCCTGGAATGCCGCTGGCATTCCTCTTTCAGGTACGGGACAAGATCATCTTCCATGACGACGGTAAGGTACATGCCGTCATTTGCGCGGATTCGCGTGCGGCCTTCGTGTACCGAGAGCTGAAACGGGATTCCGGCGCTGTATGGATTGCCGCCGAAGACAAGCTTGCCGTCGAAGTTACCAGCGTCACCGTACCAAAGGCCGTCGCCAGTAACGGGATACAGAGCGAACTGCTTATCGGGATGGTAGAGGTCGATTCCGTCTGCGGAAACAGGATGAGCGGGATTGATAATTGGCTCGAGAAGTGATAGGATAGGAGCACTGTCAGCACTATCAGCGCTGTCGGTCCTGTCTGGGTCCTCTGGGTCGATCTGAACATCAAGTGCTTCATCGATATTGTCCGTCCAACGCCCCTCTCGAGAGAGGTACTGTGACCCACGGCAGATGTGAAACACGTTGTCTTTGTAGATGGGATAACTGCTGAGCTGGCCAACATATGTGTGATCTCTGATTATGTGAATTTCATCATCGGAAAGATAAAACAGGCTCCCATTGCCATGGTAATCACGGTGTAGAGTGAAGCTGTTGTCGTCATAGCGAACAGCGAGGTATTTGCCAGTGACTATGAAACGAAACGGCCTGTCCAGTCCCTCGTCATCCGGATTGAGCTGTTCTTCTGCCATGATAATCTATTTATCAGGGTCAGGGACTCTGGAACAGTGCCATAAGATAGTCAATAGTTACCTATGTTGGAACAGCCAGCTCCATATCTGGGTTGGGTAGTAGATAGACTAGATAGAAGATGAAGCAAGGTTTAAGGTTATACTTATACACAATGTGGGTCCCAGGCAACCATGGGATTTAGCTAAGGCTCATCCCCACAGTTTATCTAGGTAGCATACTGAAATAGAAGGAGATGCATGGGTTCGCCTGCATTGATAATGCCATCATCATGAGGCAATTCTAATTCTTATAAATATAGTCACCAAATCACTTTAAACATCCAGTCTCAATGTAAGAATCAATACCCGTATGACCACCCCAAAATGTCCAGTACAGGATCTAGAAGTGATGGCAAGATCTGGGCAAGCGACGACCTGGAGGGTCTCCCTCCAACAGTGAATATTTACCCATGGGAAGGCCCCGATCATTTCCAGAACATCGTCGACTCAGAGCTCCATCAATTCAAAGATCCCCAACGCTCATCTCCCTGCGACTGGATAGTCTTCTCTAACGTCTCTGAAACCATTTTCGAGCGCGACTTCCAAGAAGAAACCGACCTGAGCAAGCAGTGGAAATCATATAATCGCTCCCGTCAACTCCTCTTCGTTGAAATCGCCAGGGGCACCCCCGAGCATACAGAGGCTACGCAGACTTTCAATTATATCCTGAAGGAAGCGGTCGATCGGATGGGACTGTCGACTGTTTTGAGAAATTTCTCAGACACCATGATTCAAGGAGATGATTGTGCCAAAGTACCGGATAATGGCTGGGGTCCGAGGCGTCCTCCGGCCGGCCGTTCTCGAAAATGGCCGACTGTGGTGTTAGAGGTTGGAGTCTCCCAAGGGAAATCGAAGCTGGAGGAGGACGCGCGTTTCTGGCTTGAGGAGTCGGAAGGCGATGTCAAAATCTCCCTAGCGATATCAGTGGATCCACGAATTCCGGAAATTGTGCTGGAAAAGTGGAAGATCAGTAACGGAAGCCTGAGATGACACAGAAGGTGATAGTCTGGCGACAGAATGAAGACATCTTGTTCGATAATGAGCCCCTCGTTATTGAATTTGAGGATCTCTTCTTGCGAGAAGCGGACAACCCCCGGGAAATCAACATTGAGTTCGACCAGGGTAGTCTGCAGCGTCTTGCCGAGAACATCTGGCTGGAGCAGGGGCTACTGGGGATCTGGGCTTCTTCAGGTCCTGGGAAAGCCTAATTATCATCATCAAGTGAGTTTCTCCCCATCTTCCGCGGCAAACCTCGAGGCCACTGTACAGCTCAAGTTTAGCTTCTACTCTTCTCTCTTCTCCGTGGCGTAAATGGGCTTACTCCGTACGCAATCCCAGTAACGATTGACGGCCGTGAGCAAGGACATATAAGCATTCTGAGCATTCCTTGCCACATGGTCAATCAACAGACAGCAGCTTTGAACACCGGAAAAGAGTGGTGCGACACAACCATTCCGGTATATGCTGGATTACCAGCAGGATAAAGTCTCAGGAGTCGGACCACTGGGCTAAACGGAACCATGACGGTACATCTTAGCTAAAATTGATATGCAGGCATGGTATGGCTAACTCTGATAGAGCCCCGAGAGAAAGGAGGATAGAAGTCAGTGGTCCTTTGCGATGTGACACTTTAAAGTGAAAGAATAGCTGTGCACTGATGGTTGACCGCCTAGTGGATACAAAAAAGTAGTCGATAGTAATGCTGATGCATATATTTCTTTAGAGACGGCTAATTTATCACAGCATGTCATAATATGGGTATCAACATTGCAATTGTCAAATGCTCCGCTCTAGTAACAAGTGCAGAAACATTCTCCGGAAGCGCCCATTTCTATAAGGCTACATAGGAAAAAGGTAAAGGCATCGATCAAGCCTCTTCAAGCCCCATTCCCTTGCCGATCTTCCGAATTAGAGCCCGCTTCAAGAACGCTTCACGCGCCAAACTGCGCGTATGCCGCGACCACGTGTCAACGCCAATGACTCCTTTGACCAAGGCAGCTTGCAGGGCGTAAATAGCCTGCTGGATTCCTCGTTCATCGGACACGAGGTCATAAAGCTGCTTACCAACGACGGTAGGGGCGACGAGGACCTCATCGATGGGCGGCAGAGCCGATGGTGCCGCGTCTGAGCCAGAGCTTGAGGCATGGGATTGAGCAGTGGACGAGGAGATGCGTGCCTGCGCGGCTGCGATGACGCCGTCGGCACGGTGGAGCGATTGCTGGAGAATGGAGGTGTTGGACTGCAAAGTTGAGTTGAGAGAATTGAGAGAGGAGATCTCGCCTTGTAAGGTGGCGATGGCGGCTTGAAGGGACTGGGACTGGGAGAGGAGGGACTGAGCGGCGGATTCGGACTGGGAGACGTTGGCTTGAACAGTTTCGGCGAGGGTCTTAGACACAGCGTGCAGGAGGGCGTCCTTTTCAGGGTTTGGCGGGATCGGCGGTGCAGGACCCGTGGGCGTGAATGAGGGGAGTTCAAGCTCGAAGGGTGAGGTCAGGAGATCCGGTGTTTGTGTCTTTGGTTTCGGCGCTGGCTCGTGGGCGGGAATTGGCGGCTGCGCTTGGCCATGAGGTAGAGGCTGCATGGCCGGCTGCGGCGGCTGCTGGTACCGAGTACCATTCTGCTGGTACAAGGAGGGATGTGCAGGAGCTTGTTGCACAGGGAACGGCGGCTGCTGAGGTCCTCGCGGTAGGCTGGCAGGCGGGGGACTTCTGGGCGGGACACCGTCGCCTGGCTGATGTCCTGGCCCAGACAGATACGCTGGAACTGCCTGGACTGCAGTATGGTGTGGTGGTAGCGACAACCCATACGAGCCCGCTGTCCCTCCACCAGGTGCAACACCCCTTTCAGGATGATATTGGAAAGACCTGTCGGGGATATGACCACCTGTGTTCGCATGGAATTGCAACGATTGACGTCGGAGATCTTGTTCCTTTGGCGGTAACGGCGGTAGAGGTGGAGGAGAGTTGTACCTCCCAGCTTGTGGTACTTGCGATTGTTCAGCAGCAACGGCCTGCCCTGGCTTCGGAGGAGGGGGTGGCGGCACCTGCCCGGTCGGCTGCGGCGGAGCGGTCTGAGGGGTCGGCGAAGGTCGATGCGTCGACGAACTTAGCTCTGGGGGCAGAGGAGGCAAAGGGGGCGGTGTCTGCGTAGGCCCTGCTTGTTGAGGTCCTTGCGGTACCTGTGGTTGTTTGTACTTGACCGGCGGTTCCTTCGCAAAGACCTCCCGAAGAATCGTCAGGAAATCGACGAGGTTTGATCTCTGCATCCGAAAGCGTAAGTCAGTCACAGTTCCCCGGGAGAAAAGTCCAATGCAAGGTATCAGGCAAACGAACATCCCATGCCTCAGCCCAGTGTGCGAGATAATGGTGATACACTCTTCCCTCCAGCGTCACATGCTGCCCTACTCGAACGGCCATGTCCTGCGTCGGAGTTACATAGACCATCGGGGGTTCGCGAGGATAAGTGTTCGGAATCCATAATGCGATTGGAAATTTGTAGACGGTGCCGCGAAATGACACTGGTATTGTGCCGGTCAGGTGGAGGAGTAAGGCAGAGAAACCGGTTTCGTATGCTGCGGGATGAGCGACCTTCATTAGCACCAATAATTCCAGATTGAATACAGGTAGAGGAAACAAAACGATCAATGCGCTGTAGCATAATTATGAGAACTTACTGTACACATCCGTCCGTGGCGAGAGTGAAGGGTATTGTGCGAGGACATTGGCGACATCGTAGTAAGTGCGATTGGGATCTTGGTAGGTTTGCTTGGGATCATAGTGATCCTGGAAAAGTCAGTACTTCTCTACGATGGGAGAATTAAAAGTTGAAACAAACCCGAGTCAGCACACTGTATAGCCAGTTCAATGTCCTCTGCGGCACTGCAGCCATGTCGAAGAGGCGGATACAGGAGCTCGCATGGTGGGAAGTTGTCATGTCAAAAATGCCCGCCCAAGCTAAAGGCGCTCTCCATCTTCCCCGCATCGCGTCTTGGCTGGAGCCATCACCGCCATCTCCATGTGGTACTTGCTTGTGGAAGGCTAACCGCAGCTTGAATGCATTGAAATATCAAGAAAATACTACTAATCTTGACGTGATCGAGAGTTCCGAGATAATCATAGAATTGACTATTGACAAAGATGAGAATAGCAAAGGTCAAATAGCCACGCCGCCATCCATCACTGTCGTTAACGGTATCGCTAATGCACAGAAAAGATAATACTACATGTACAATCACAGAGTACCTAACGCCGTAGAATGCAAATTTTTTCGCTCCTCTCCCTTCATGGACCCTCAAGAGAACGTCACTGGAATAAAGAGATCAAGCTCGGATTTTCCTTCTGACCCTTCTCCCCTTCTGAGCATCGGCAGGCTCCTCGTAGATCTCAGTCCACACGTCTTCAAAAGTGGTCTTCTTCCGACCAATCTGGCCCTCGAAGAAGTTCAATTTACGCACGACCTCCATGGCGCCGGTACCCAGACTAACGGTCTTACCCATAATGATGCATTCGGAGACACCCTCGATTAGATCGGTACGACCAGCACCACCAGCATCAAACAGATGGTCCGCAGTCTTCTCAAAGGAAGCGAGTTGCAGAACAGAGTCACGCATCTTCGCAAGACCGAAACGAGTGATACCAAGGACTTCGCCCTTGTACGTCATGACATCAGCAAGAAGTTGCATATGACGAGGGTCAATGCCCATGTCCTTCATGACCTCGCTGATTTCTTGGACAATCGTGACTCTGGCCGCTTCGATACCAAGAACATCACGCATCTCCATGACGTTATTGGTAGAAGTGCGGAGACCATTGACACCAAGCGTGGTCATGCACTCCTTCAGCCCGTAACCTTCAACAAGGAGTGTATTGGTGCTGGATGTATCGTCGGTACGGATGATGGCGCGGCTTGCTTGCGGATGACCAAGCACCTGTATATCGGGGAGGATGCGCTTGAGATGCTTGAGGCGGAGGAAAGGATCGGCACTGGTTGCTGCAATTTCGGTCTTGGATAGAGACGCTTTGCTGGCAGGGTCAATGTCCATGTAGATATGGATATGAGAATTGGTGCTTCGGAATTTCAGATCATCGGCCTTGAAACGCTTGTGGTTCTTGATGGCGTCGACGATGTTCCTGATCTTAAGCTCAAGGGCCAGATTTTGAATGGTCTCCCAGTTAATCTTGACAGTAAGGTAGGCCTCCTTGCCAGTCCAGGCTTCTCGGACATAGTGAATAATATCCCTCAGGTACGTCTTTTCAATACGTCCCTTGACAATACGTGCCGCGATGACATTGTCTTTGGTGACGAGGTCACAGGAGATAACAGGGGTACTGATCTCCTTCGATGCGTTGATGATTTCCTTAATACGAGGAACACCTTGAGTAATACTCATACCAGCAACACCGGCAAAGTGGAAGGTCTTCAAGGTCATCTGAGTTCCCGGTTCACCAATTGACTGTGCACCAACAGCACCAACGGCGTGGCCAGGCTCGACCTGAGCCTTCTTGTACTTCATCAAACATGACGTAATGAATGTTCTGAGAGTCTTCTCTGTCAGCTTTCCGGTGTGGTTCAAGCCCTTCTGGCTCCTCTCATCTGATGGATCAATATCACCGCCACGAGAGATCAGCTTGTCAGCTTTGCTGGATATGTATTGCTGAATCGACTCAAGGAAGTCACGCGCGCTCTCGAATTGATCAACACCGTGGTCGCTTCTATCCATGTAAGAAAGCTTATTGCCTAGTAGATCTTCGCGGACCAATTTTGCACGCTCCTTGGAAAGCATCTCTTCACATACTTCCATAATTTCGTGCGGAAGCAGACTCCGCTCGTCATTATCGTACGTGATGGACTCAGCGTGGATGAAAGTCCGGTCAAAGTGGACAGGCTTGGCTTTACCTTCCATATCGACAGGATCCAACTTGTCGTCACCATATTGGAACTGAACGATGGCATCTGAAGAGTTTCGGACGGTGTCATCGTATCTACTGGAAAGGTCCTCGAGAGACTTCATGAGACGACGGGACATGTAACCAGTTTCTGCTGTCTTGACAGCAGTATCGACCAGACCTTCACGACCAGACATTGCGTGGAAAATGAACTCAGTAGGCAACAGCCCAGAAAAGAAACTGTTGCGCACGAAACCTTTTGACGGAGGCTGTCGAGCGTTCTTCGGAAAATGGGGCAGCGTTCTGTCCTGGAACCCGTCTTG